TCCTACATCTGCATGTTTGGGGATCTTAATGTAATTGAGTGTTTCAGGCCCATGCGTAGTTTTTTCTCATAATTATCCTGAACATTACATTATAAAAACATTGTTCAGTAATTATTTTCCAGACTTCAGTGGTATTTTCTTCTTTTTTTTAAAGTTGGCATAGCTGAGTGCAAGCAATTGTGTAGTATGAGAACCACGCATAGACATCAATATGGGGCCAAGTAAATTAAAAAGAGATTTGCTTCAAGTATGCTGAGTACTCCAGAGAATGTCTTCCATCTCTGAGCAATTGACAGTTTAATTCAATTCTTTCTCAGTCCCACCAGAAAAACCACCAAGCACTTTGAAAACCCTGGTAAAGAGTAAAGTTCTGTTAGGAAAGTGAAATGTCACGCCATTTCACAATGTAGGACAACCTGTATATTGCTAAAGTGATCTAAAATGGGCATTGTTCAGTGCCAGAACATTCTGGGCTTGTATTGATGCACTAAAGAAAAATTACTAGGGTTTTAGTTAATGAAAGAAGTCATTATTAAGCTGTTTCTGATCATAATTACAAATTGCAACATATATTCATGGTAGTGGAAAATGTGCTACCCAGAAATAATATCTGTCTCACATGCAAACTTAAATTCTCAAGTGATACAATAGTATCCTAATTTACAAGTGTAGGAATAATAGTTTATTCGTTGGGAAGGACATGGTTTGCAGTGAGAAGATTTGAACTTAATATCTAGATACGCATGTGTCAACAGGTTGATTTCAAGAAAATTGCCTCTGCTGTTTTCTTTCATGAACAAAATAGCTTAAAACTCCAAAGTTACAAAGCCTTAAGTAGAATTAAACCATTTTAGTGATTTTTCTTTTTACCTCAAATGACCATAACATTTATTATTTAAAGGTGCATATGAAATAAAGCAGATAGCAAAAAAATAAACCTGCAGAAATGATCATTCTAATTTGCAGCCAATTGCCTTTGAAACAGGGCCAAGAAACATTTGCATATGAACAAGAAGCAAACCAAACAAAATTTTAGAAAAATTTAGTAATTTAAAAAAGCAATAAAATCATCAATATCCTGATGACTTTTAAGAATAATTTCTTCTGAATTTGTATGTAGACCTTATACATAAAGTAGGAACTTTAGCTTGTTTAATGGGCCCTAATTTGTCAAGAGTCAAGTATGCTGAAAGTATAGTTTAGGGACAAAATACTATCAGTTCTCTGGTTGTTTGCCATTCATGTATTGTCAGAAAGTCCTTGGGAGAAGCTGGGCCTCTGAGCAGCTTATACTCCATACTAAAGATGCTGTTAGCAGTAAATACATAGCAACAGTAAGTTTGATTCCTGAGGAGAGAAAAGAAGTATTTCAAGAGGGAAATTTAGGACCAAATGAATATTTATTAAAAAGTGTTTTAAATTATTACTGAAATAAAATTTACTACTTGATAATATAATATATACACATGTAGAACATTCGATCTTTTTTGTGATTTGAAATCTTACTCTTTATTGGCAAAAAAATAAACATAAAGGCAAAAAAAGAAAAGGCCCAGCAAATTGTCATTGATTTAGTAGAGCTTCTACTAGAAAGATAAACTATACACATTAAACACGAAGAAAATCATTAGTAAGGTTGAGAAATCTTTTTAATATACGAGATTGACGTATCCTTTGTGCATGTCTCTATATGTACTATAATTTTGATTATGTAAAAAAAGGTAGAGATGCCTAAAGGGAAAACTTAGATGACAGAGTTTGGTTTGTGGTATAACTATAGAAATTTGTTCATGTATTTTACCAAAACACAATTATTGTTAAAGCCTAATGCTGTATATTCTCAAAGCAATAAAAATTATATTCCCTTTCTGTGTTTCTGTTAATATGATGCTAAATTGCTTTTATGTATAGCACACCTAATTTAAGTATAGCGGATGAAAATTAATATTCTTCTTGTAAGAGACAAGCTATGACAACTTCATCAAATAAATAAGTATTAAAATTAGGCTCATCAGCTTTTAACTTTTGCTAGGATGTAATAGTATGAATCTCTATTAAAATTTTTAAAAGTGAAATAATAAAATATGTAATTTCAAATGTCTCTAAAATGAAAACAAGAAGCTTCAAATTCTTCTAAGGGCTACATCAGTACTATTACTATGTTTATTTCCTTGACAAATAGAGGGAAGGTTTTACAAGCATTCATTTCAAAACTAATCTAGGAAAAGGGAAAATATACTCTTGGCTTTGTAATATCCATTATCTACTAAACAAGTATCAGAATTTTTTCTGAATAAATTCTACTAGGGAACCTAAGGATACCCAAAGGAAAACAGTAGAGATATAATTTTAAGAACTGGTGAAATAATATGATGACAATAAAAACAATTTAAAGACATTAGTCAACCTTTGAAATTTTGCTTTCATTGCATTTTTCTTGACTGTAATTTTTTAGACAGCCTGTAATTTAAGTGAGCTTTCCTCACTCCCAATACTATTTATAAAGATAAACTAATTCTATTTACTGCAGAGTGAATTCTGTTGAAAAAAAAAACTAAGTTGTCTTCTTGCCAACCCAGCCACTTCCTTCTGCATTTTGAAACCCTTGCCCATCTCCAAAACCCAAAAAACTGACCCTTTCCTACTCAGCATATTACAGTTTGTGCATTAGAGCCATGCTCAGATTCCTTTCTTACATTTCTGATAAACCCAAAGGTGGCCAATTATATTTAAGACAGCTTCCACTTCCATTAAATATTATAAACATTAGAATTTTGTTCACATTTGAAGTATCCATGCCTTCCTTTCTTCTTGGTTTTATGTGACATATGACACTAAAACACTTAAGGTCTAATGCTTCCCACAGTCACATCAGAGTGGCACAAGAACCGGTGACAATCCCACCTGATTCTCTGATAAATAAAGCCACTAGACGTCGAGAGATGTGGACCAGGAAGCCCAGAACCAGACAAAGGTTCTGGAACACAGCCTGTAGAGTGTGACAACATACTGAGAAATGTTTTAGTAACCTACATAGTGGCTTTACGGATTAAAGAGCATTGTAACTAGATTAACAATGATGTTGTAGTTTATTTTCTCAGCACATTCACCAGAGTTCTTATCTTTCTGGATTCCCAGACTCATTGCACTCCACAGATTTTCTTTACCCAATGAACATGTTTGCTTACTTAAGGAACCTCTTCAAACCATATAAAAAAAACATTAATTTCTGACCTGAAGAGAGGATCAAATGGCATATTTCTTCTTCTTGATTGTCCTGGGTATTGTACTGGTACACTGGTACTTGGTGCACTGACTCTGGGAGCTCTTTGAATTCATCTTATGAATCACTAATGTAGACCTTGTTTTGTGATGGAAATGAGGGGCAGATTTTCTTGACCCGTCTGATTTTCAATTCTCTGTTGGTATGGATTGTATTCCTAACCCTTTCTGCCTCATCCAGCTGTGGACTTTGAAGGAAACCCAAGTGTACTGACATCGACTGCTCTTTGCCATAGGTCATTCACCCTCTAGCACTTTGCCAGCTCATGCAGGATGGGGACTCCCTTGACCTCTGCCACATTTGACTTCTTTTCCCTTGTAGGCATGTGGGAGATAATCTTTGTATTAAAAGGTTACTTTTAAACTTAAGTGTTGTCCTTTGATCTTATCAGGTAATAGTTGTAAGTATTTTTGAATAAACTATTGAAAACCATAATATTTTATTATGTTTCCTATATTATTTTCCCAAAAGAGATTATAACATTTTCAGAAATATATGTATACAAGATGTACTTCTATAAAATAACTTCTAGAAATTGTTTTCATTGTTTTTTTTTTCTGTTGTAGCTTCTCTTCTCTAAATTTCATATTGCTTTATTCTCTGGATTTCATCTTAATTTTTTTATTGACTGCTTTAAATCAATTGCAAAACTAAAATTCATGTAATAGTGTCAAAATAAAATATATAACAATTATCAACATAAATCAATAATTTCTTTACTTTTGTTCTTGGTAGTATAATTACATATCTTATTTGTTAGAATTTTTTTAAATAAATGCGTAAACATTACCTGGCATTTTGTCCCTAAGTTGTTGTACTTCTCAAATATGCTATCATATAAAATATTGATAAATATGTGTTTGCTTATGACGTGATATGAATCATTCAAATCTCTGAATGACATATTTCCATATGTGAGCTCACATCCGTAAATCTTTATTCCCTTTGTTATTTATTGGAAATACATTGCTGTGGTGAATATCAACTTTTCTTTTAGTCATAGTAGGGCATTTACTGATTTTCTTTTTGGTTAGCAAACATTTTACTAGCTCACTGAACAAATGTATCTGTTTCAACTTGTATACCTGGAAAAGAGTCAGAATAACCAAGTGTTGTAATTGTAAGTTCCCTATAGTGTTTTGGTCGACATGCTGGCTCTGTTTCCTTTAAACTCAGCATCAGTCATTGGGATGCCTGATTAAGTACCCTGAGAGGCTGGCACCATTTAATTTGGTTCCTGCACTTTCTTCTTAAGTTCTTTTTATTTCTACTTTTCTCCTTTACACTGAGGATTTTTTTTGCTTCTTAGTTCATGATTTGTGTAATCATTCCAGTCTCAAGTAAATTTAATTAGTGCCCAATATGTGTATAAGTGCCCAAAGTGTATGCTCAATATTAAGGAAAATCTGTTTGCTCAAACAAATATATCAGAGGACAAAGGTTGGCCTGATTTTGATAAATTTCATACTGCCATCAGAGCAAAGCTCCTTTGCTTTACTACAAGAGTTCAGAGTCAGGTCAAAGTCTAACTTCCAGAAAGAACATCCTATTACTTTCTGAAAAAAAATGAACTAATTACTAAGTATCTTGAGTGAATAGTAAACTAGGACAGAAATATACTTGCCACAAAATTTTATAATTACTCTAGGAATACTTCCATGTGCTTCATAGAATGTTTAGGCATTTTACTAACTCTCAACCATTCGTGTTTGTGAAGGCTGTTTGATTACCATGGGCGTGTGCCTCCACCTCCTCGAGCTGTCATTCCATTGAAGCGTCCCAGAGTGGCTGTCACCACCACACGTAGAGGGAAAGGCGTGTTTTCCATGAAAGGGGGGTCCAGGTCTACTGTTGGTGGGTCATCTTCATCAGGCTCTAAAT